CGGGGCGCGCCTTTCCGCGCCCTGCCGTCCTCGCTGCGGAGGCCCCGCGCCGCGTCCGCGGGGTAACACCCGCCGCCCTTGGCGTGCCTGACACACGGATGGCGTAGGCGACCGCCGCCGCCGCGGGGAGCCCACCGCGGGGTCGCGGCCGCCGCCGCGCTCCGCCTCGGTCCGGCCCCGTGCGGGAGGCCTGGTTGCGTCACCTCCCCCTCCTGCTTTGGCTTGGCTGGGTTCTGGCGCCCCACGAGAGGGTAAGCCTGCCTCTGGTGCTCCGGGATGCTGCCGCCACCGTTCGGGACACTTCCCTTGCAGAAAGGGACACCTGTCGTTGGGTTGTGAATGCAGTGCGGGGGAGTCCCAGCGCGCGGTTAGCGGAGGGAGCGGAGTCCAGGCGGCTGCGGGGGGCGGGGAGGGGGAGACGCGCACACAGGCCTGCACCGTGGCTGGGGCCGTGGCGGTGGAGGGAGGCCGGTTTGCTAGCACGGGTCCGTGGGAACAGAGAGCGCGGGAGCGTCAAGTCCGTGGCTGTGCAAATGGGAGGGATGATGCCAACTTCTTTCTTTGGCAAAGAAGGCTTGTTTCCCATCGCTTCAGAGGTCCCGGCATATCTTTCTCATTATTTCACTGTTGGACTCACAGTTGCGTGCTTGCTGCGTGGGGGGCAGGGAACCAGAGGACAGGGGCGAGCCCTCCGGAGTCAGGTCTTCCATGTACCAGCTGTGTGACATTGAGCGAGTTATTTAACCTCTCTACCCCTACTTGGTCTTATCTACAAAATGCGGATAATTATATCTACCTGGCAGGGTTGTTGTCAGAAGCTGAAGTGTCTAGCTATTCTTAGCAAGGGCACAGCCCCCCAGGCGCTTGAACTGGCTCCCTTGCTGAAGGTTTCCCACTTGTACAGCTGCTTGAGAAGCAGGGGAACTTTCTGCTATTCTGGATGTTTGCTTGTCTGCCAGGTGTGATAAAGCCAGACGTGGGGGGCGGGGGAGTAGGTGGGAGGGGGAATCTCAAACCCCATAATTTCTCTACTATAGACTTCATAGCATTTTAGCACTGGAAAGAGGTTAACGTTAAGGCCTCACTTCATTCTAGTAATTCCGGCTTCTCTTTATTGAGCACTCGCTGCGTGCCTGACACTGTTCCAAGCACTTTACTTGCACATATTTAATCCCACCAGCAGCCTAGATCGGTAAATATTATCCCCATTTTGCAGGTGCAGGAGGTAGAGTCTTGGCCAAGATCCTCACACTAGCTAATGGCAGAACTGGAACTTGAACCCAGGCCCTCAGGCTGTGTAGTTTGTAATTTCTCAGTGGCTAGAGCCCTGGCCACTGTGTAGTGGCGGAAGGGAGGCATAAGCAGGGGAGAGGGCCAGTATTTGCTGCACAAGAATAACATCTCAAATTGTCCAGTGATGAACTATCTTTTATTTTACCCAGCACTGTCCAGATGTGAAACAAGATTTGGCCTTTCCACCCAGAGAAAAAGGAAAGGCCCCTGGGCACACAGTGCTGGGATCGTGGGCACACAGTGGGTATTTGGTAAATGCCCGTGGAAAGAAGAAAAAAAGGTACTGTTATTTTGACCGGAAGGAGACCCGTTGCTTAATTCACAAAGGCGAACTTCCGCCTAGCGATTTTTATGCTATAACAGTGTAATGTGAGCATCTTTCTGATTCCTGGGTTTAAAGATTTGAAGCTGTGTTGCAGACCACGGTTGATAGGATCTGTGACCAGCTGATTAGAGGTTTCAGAGATGTGCACTGCAGGCTCTAAGCGGTTGGGCTTCTGTAGTGATCTCTTGAGGTCCGGCAATTTAACATCTGTTAGGCTTGGACCATCATGTCTTGATGTACAGCTGCTTGAGTTAAGTTTCCGGGAGAACACTGGATGATTGTTTGGTCTCACACATAAAGAGTTCAAAATACTAAGTTAGTTGCAAAATTAAGTCTTTGGGAAAGATCTGTGACTGATGTGCATTAATGTGGGAACAGCCAAGTGGGTTTAAACATAATAATCTTGGTGTTTTTGATGAGCTAGTCAGTGTTGGCTCTCTGTTTGAAGATGATTTAGGGCCGTATGGTGAATTATTAGGAACTCACAAGGCTTATATAACCCATATAAACTACAACTTGTATTTCATACTTTCTATCAAACTTAATGGGAGAAACCCTCTGACATCCTCACAGCCCCCCCCCCCCGTTTCCCTCTGTACCCCACCACTACCACACACGCAGTGAAGCTCTTTCCCAGCAAGGGGGTGTATTGATCAGGTTGCCAGTGGCAGAACCCACTGTAAACTAAACCAGAAAAGGGGGTTTCCCCTCTTTGCTCATTGGACTGGGAAGTCCAAAGCTGAGCTTCAGACATGGCTGGATCATGAGGCTGAAATGAAACCCTGAGGGCTCTCTCGGTCCTGCCTTTCCCTGCCTCTTTTTGCTGATTGGCCCGTCTCTCCCGCTGTCTTCTCTACACATCCTGCAAAGGCTGACTCCTGGCAGCCCCTAGCCTGTGACCTTACAGCCATCTTCTGGCATCATAAACTAATCACATCAACTAATCAGCTCTGTGTCCTGGCCTGCTCCTGGGATGGAGGAATAAGCTGCCTCTCCCTAACCATTTGGGATGGGAAGTGCAGAGTTACCGGGCCAGCAGAAACAGCAGGTGACAGCCTTCCGTGGGGGTGGCACGTGCACTCATATCCCACTTTGAGGCCCTTCCAGAGCCTTCCGACAGGAGTGCACCCACCTGGTTTCGTTTGTCCAGTCACACACCGTTACTCCGTTGTGGCATTGACCGTGCGTTCTCGTCCCTCCCGTGCCTTTGCATCTGCTGTGTGGGGCACCCTGCAGCACTGGGCCACCTGGCTGACGTCCTCCTGGGTTCTGGTCAGCCTTCTCCTCCCAGAAGCCTCCCTGGGCCTCCAGGTATGAGTTAGGCAGTCCTCCTGAGTTCCCGTAAACACCTCAGCACAGGGCTGGTGTGATTTCTGTTTGACGATTGTCAGTCCTCTAGACTGAGAGCCCCATAAGAGCAGAGGAGCTCTTTGCACTGTACTCCTCACCGCCCCCCCCTCCCCAGCTGGCCTTCGTTCCCTTCACAGCACTTGCAACCAGTTGGCATTCTGCATTGTATTGTTTATTGCCTGTCTTCTCACTAGCACATCAGCTTCATGAAAATAATGAGGAAAGGAAGTCCTGTTTCGTTTACTGCTGTATCGCTAGGGCCTAGGACAGTGCCTGGCACATAGTATGTGCTTAATAAATGTTTATTAAACCAATGAATGACAATCTACCCACAGGGAGAAAATGCCAGCATCGCATTGAGGAGGACTCCCATCTGCATGATAGATACAGTTGTCACTAAATGTCTAAGACACGGGCCCATCCAGGAAAGGCAGGACCTCACCCCCTGTGCGTCTGTCTGAACCTACAGAGGCCCGGGGCCAGGCCCCAAGGAGAAGCCACTGGAAATTCCTCCCCGTGAAATGTTGCACTCCCCCCAGACCTTTCTGAACTATGATAGGATGTATAGTAAGGCTTTTCCCTAGCTTGAGTCTTTTTCCTTATTTATTTTTTAAAACATTTAGCTGAGCACTTACAATGTGCCAGGCACCGGAGCTTGAGGATCAAGGCTTGTGTGCTTTAAAACTTTTTTTTCTTTTTAAATACCAAAACACTCAAGAAAGGCTGAAAAAAGCAAAAAATCCAGGTTAGAAAATGATTAAAGAACTGAGACCCTTCTCCATCCCGCGCATCTCACCCCCCCGGAGGTAGAGCTACTAATGATAGCGTGGCGTGTCTCCTTCCGTACCTGTGATAGCGTGGCGTGTCTCCTTCTGTACCTGTCTTCCAGGTGCTTCTGCCGCACCCACCCACCACCACCTCCAGGCGTGTGGCAGAGCTGGGGAGCGGAGGGACCACTGGCCCAGAGCCCAATCTGTCCTTCAACCATATCCAAGCACTCCCCCCACCCCCAACCCCCTCAGAGAACCATCTTCCTAATTATTGTGCTGCCTTATCTTTTGGGTACCCACGTCACACCCACCTCCCACAGAAAACCAAAATGAGGTGGGCATTATCCATTTGTTTCTTTTTTTAACACAAGAGTAGTTGTCACACTGATACTGTAGAGACTTGGGGTGAAGGCGATTGATGAACCCCAGCCTTCCCCCTCAAACACCCAGGTCTTGCGTCCTCCCAGCTTCAATATCCTTTTTTATTGCCCAGGCCTGATTTGCTTCCTCAAAAGGTCACTACCAGTTGACACTGCGATGCCTGACCGTTCGCTGTGCCTCATCTCACCCTGCCCTCTCCGGGACTGGGCGTTTTAACTAAAGAAGGGAGATCTCAGCTAAATTGAGAAACGCTGTCTCATTCTAATTTGCACTTTTAGTTATTATGATTAAGTTTGAACTCTTTCTGCATATGCCTATTAACCATTTTTATTTCCAATTTGTAAGTTTTCAGTTAATATTTTATCTAATCACTGTATTCTGCTATTTTTATAATTATATGAATTCTCTTAAAACCATGAGTGTGTGCTCATTATAAAAAAAAAGCTTTATTTGCTGTGAATAGTTTTCCAATTTGTTGTTTGCCATC